TATCCAAACAGCATCCACTGTTCATCAATTGTGTTACAGGCAATTCGCGATAATGAAACACGCATTTTAGCAGAACTACCTGTATTTATTTTCCCAACTTCTCTAGCTTTTATACACTTCTCTAAACACTGATGCAAAATACTATATTTACAGCCACAGAATCTCCTATCTGTTCCCCTAAATTAAAGAATCCTCCCTCAGTACTGCCTTTTCAGTCTTCTTCCCAACTTGTACACTGAGCCACTTGTAGTGTCACAGGTTTGGTTTTTGCTGCACAGCTCCAAGCATGCTTTTCTGATGAAGGGTCTAGGCCCGAAACGTCAGCCTTTCTGCTCCTATGATGCTGCTTGGCCTGCTGTGTTCATCCAGCCCTGCACCTTGTTGTCTCCAAGCATCCTTTGCCCAGATCAATATTCATGACAGAAAACTGGTTAGTGAGTGGACTTCTGGGGAATTGCACGGCTTGCCTGTTTCGCTTGAACCATCTGATGATCACCTAATCTCTATCTGCTTGACTACATGCGGGAGGCAATAGCCTAGTGGTATCATTGCTAGAGACACAGGAAATGTTGTGGGGACCCAGGTTCAAATCTCACCATGGCAGATGGTGAGATCTGAATTTAATAAAAATCTGGAATTAAGAGTCTCACGATGACCACAAATTGGCAATTGTTGGGAAAATCCCATCTGGTTCACTAACAACTTTTAGGAAAGGAAGCTGCCAGCCTCACTTGGTCTGGCCTACATGTGACTCTAGGCCCACAGCAATGTGGTTAACTCTTAACTGCCCTTTTGGATGGCCAATAAGAGATGACCTAGGTGGTGATGCCTCATGAATAAATAAATTGAAAACTCCCAACCTCAGGTCTGACCACCTCTCTGAATATGATATATGTGTAGTTTTTTGCCTCATGGACACACCTCAGTTACTCGACCCACTGCTCTCGTTCAAAAAATCTGAGCCTCAAGCTTGTGCTGTTAATTAGATTTCCTGCACACAGCTCGTACAGGTCACAAGAAGTGTGCACGACTCCTGCATGCCATGGGACAGGCATTCCACTTGACTGAGTTGCCCTGCCATACTTTTACATTATTTTTCTTGTTGTAACTTTAACTTACTTTACTACTACCTAAGAAGTGGAACAGTTTTCTTCACCATTACTCACAAATTAGCTCCCTCTCCTATGCCTGCAGATTATTTATTTTCCTTTGCCAGCTTGGAATTTTACATTCTTCAAAATTACTGGAGTTGAAACATAGTCTTTAACAGTAGCTGCAAAACAACCAATCAACTCATGACTTTCCTGCGATATCACTCAAGACACCACTCCTCTCCACGAGTCAATTTAACTGGTGTCTGCTCACTTTCTTACTAATTTCACAGTGAAGACACCAGTAGCATACCAGAATATCAAGAGTCAGGAGGCAGAGTTGAGTGTAAAAGAGAAGGTGCTGGGGAAAGTGAATGGGCTGAAGGTCGATAAGTCACCTGGACCAGATGGACTACACTCCAGAGTTCGGAAGGAGATAACTGAAGGTGACTGTAGAGGCACTGGCATCTTTCATGAATCACTGGAGTCAGGGAAGGCCCCAGAGGACTAGAAAATGGCTAATGTAACAATGTTTTGAGAAGGGAGGAAGGCAGAAGATAGAAAACTATAGGCTGATTAGTCTGACCTCTGTCATTGCTAAGATTTAGAGTCCATTATTAAGGATTGCAGTGTACTTGGGAATGCTTGGTAAAAAAGGACCGAGTCAGCATGGCTTCATTAAGGGGAGATCATGTCTGACATATCTGTTAGAATTCTTTGAGGAGATAATGAGCAAGTTAGACAAAGGAAAGCCAGCGGATGTGATCTATTTGTATTTCCAGAAGGCCTTTGACAAGGTGCTGCACAGGAAGCTCCAAATTAAGGTAAGAGCCCATAATGTTAGGGGCAAGGTACTGGCTAAGATAGAGGATTGGCTGACTGGCAGAAGGCAGAGAATGGGGATAAAGGGGTCTTCTTCACATAGCAGTCAGTGACTGTCTGGACAAAGGAACTGAAAGCATTGTTGCCAAGGTTGCAAATGACACAAACATAGGTGAATGGAAAGGAAGTCTTGAGGAAGCAGGGAGGCTGCAGAAGGAGGATTGGACAGCGTAGGAGAGAGGGCAAAGAAGTGGTATGGAATACAATGTGGGAAGTGTGAGGTTATAGACTTTGATAGGAAGAAAAGGCATAGGCTATTTTCTAAACGGGTAAAGGCTTCAAAAACCTGAAGCACAAAAGGACTTGGGAGTCATGGTTCAGGATCCTCTTAATGTTAACATGCAGGTTTAGTTTGCAGTTAGGAAGGTAAATGCAATGACAGCATTCATTTCAAGTGAACTGAAATACAACAGCAGAGATGTACAACTGAGTGAAGTTGTTGACTTGCTCGCTGAGCTGGCTGGCTTACAAAATACCATGCAACGACTGCCACAAACATTACATCGGACAGCCAGGAAGGAAACTAGCCAGAATACATGAACATCAACTAGCAGCAAGACGGCACGACGAACTCTCCTTAATATCGGTACACTCAGACGATCAAGGCCATCAGTTTAACCATAGTAGCCTAAACCAAACATAGACACACACGGGAATTCCTAGAGGCATGGCTCGTAATGCAATCAACAAACCCACACAGATCAAAACCGAAAATGACAGTCTCACCATAATGGACCAAACAGTATAAATTACGAGTAGAGTAGAAAAACATCACTTCATCAGAGACTCCACTGATGAGGTCATCTAGCATGGTGATGAAACATCTGAACGAGAACAAGCCAGCTCAGTGAGCAATTCAACAACCTCACCCACAACCTGAGCTACAGATCTTTGCCAAAGCTTTGAAAGTATTACTGGGGCCATATATGGCTCTGGTCAAACCACATTTGGAATATTATGAGTAGATTTGGGCCCCGTTTCTAAGGAAGCTTGTACTGGCATTGGAGGGAGTGCAAAGAACGTTTACAAGAATGATCCCAGGGATGAAGGGCATGTCATATGAGGTGTGGTTGAGAGCTATGGGTCTGTACTCAATGAAGTTTGGAAAACTGAGGAGAAATCTCATTGACACTTATAGAATTCTGAGAGGCCAAGATACAGCGGACGTGGAGGAGATGTTTCCACTTGTAGGAGAGACTAGGACCCAAGGGCACAGCTTCACAGTGGAAGGACAACCCTTTAGAACTGAGATGAGGAGGAATTTTTTTCAGCCAAACCGTGATTAACCTGTGGAACTCATTACAACAGAATGCAGTGGGGACCAAATCATTGAGTGTATTGAAGAGAGAGATACACAAGTTCTTGATTATAAAGATGATCAAGGGTTAGGTGGAGAAGGCAGGAGAATGGGGGAGAGAAACATATCAACTGTGATCAAATGGCACTGTGGACACAATGGGCCAAATGGCCTAATTCTGCTCCTATATCATGTGGCCTATTTACATGCTGGTAACTGTCTCCAGGTCTTCCTCTTCCTCTCTTGCTCTTTAAGCTCCTACCAAAACTATCATAGAGAGATGGGTGTGTGAGATAAGTGAATTAGTTGTGAAAAGGTCAATAAAGTTTTTGTGTCTTCTCTACCATTAGTTGCTAGACTAGGTCTGTGATAATGTCTTTAAGACCAGCCATCCCTGACTGGTGTGCTTCTGAGCCCTTCATGGCAATGGACATTGAAATCCCCTATCCAGTAGAAGCAAAATAAGTGGTAAGCAGCAGGGAGTTTTGTGACCAATGTTTGACCTGGTATCATGAGACTTCACGAAGTCTGGAATCAATGTTGAAATTTCCAGGGCAACTACTCCCCAGCTGTATACAAGTGTGCCACAACTTCTCGTGGGAGAGGACATATCCACAGATGGTGATGATGGGTCTGGGTACAATTGCCTGAGTATATCGATGGGACAGTTTTCACAACTTTTGCAGAGTCCCCAGATGTTAGTAAGGGTTGCAGGTTGCTATTCCTCCAGATCAATGCCAGGTAGCCTTTCCAGTTTCATTCCATTTTGAGAAGGTTTGCTAGGACATCTAAGAGTCTGGATTCACACACAGGCCAGATTTCAGATTTCCACTGGTGAATAAGGTGGGAGTTGAATTCCTTACTGCTGCACAGGAAGCTGCTAAATAAGATGAGCCCATGATGCCAGGCGAATGGTACTGGCTCAGGTAGAGGACTGGCAAACTGGCAGAAGGCAGAGAGTGAGGATAATAGTGTCTTCTTCAGGATAACAGCCAGTGACTATGTGGACAAAGGAACTGAAGGCATTATTGCTAAGGTTTACTGGGTCAGTCTCTATCCACGGCCTCACAAGCACATAAGTTATTTTAATTAACCTGCTCACAGATGTCATTACACCTCTGGACCACATGGGCCTTGAACCCAGGTCTTCTGATTCACGAGCATGTAAGATATGTTTGAATCAACCTGTTCAGAGCTGGTATTACACACATCTGGAGCAAATGGTATGTGAATCTGGCCCTCCTGGTCCAGATGCAGGGAATCTACCACTACACCACAAACACAGTCACTCACGCGCATGTAATGAACAGTAACTTAATTTCCCTCAGGTGATATGAATTTTTCAGACAGATGTGCAAATAGGCTGCACCTGGACTGGAAAAAGGAACTGTCCATTTCTAAATTGTAAACCAGATGTCAGAATGCTGAATTTGAAAGGCTACAATCCCCCCTCCAAAAGTCTTGATCAGCAGCAGAACTTCAACTATAAACCCACGTTTGATACAATGCTGGACTTTGTAAAAAGTTGCTAATAGAAGCAAATTAAATTTGCCTTAATTAGTATCGAAAACAAGTTATAAAGCTATCTAAGGTTGAATTTTTTTTTGAAAAAGACGATTCAAGCTTAAAGTTCGTATAAACTGATTTTGCCCTCTCCTGAATCATATTACTGCATCTTGACAAAGTTCCTTCTGACTCATCAGTCAGGCAAAGCTCAGCGCCTCACTCACCTGCAGCAAGTTTATCAGGACGATAAGGTATACCTGGTATCTACCAACCCGTCCCATCGATCTGTAAACTTGGTCCACCGCCATCAGACTCGGCTCGGGCCGAGTGGGCTTTCGGTGGCACAGCACCAGAGACACGGGAAGGGAAACAGGCTGCACTCATCACCATGGGAACGGGAACCTGCCACGCGTCACCCCCTCCACGCGGCCGCCCCGAAACTTCCGTTAAGCTGGCAGAGCGCGGGCGCATCGATTACCGAACCCCGCAACGGCCCTTGTCAACTGCGCATGCGTTCTGCTTGGCTGCCAACCTGTCCTTCGGGCGTGGGTGGGAAAATGTGCAGGGTTTTGCGCAAATAATTTTGTGTATGCATCTCACCGTGTTTCCGATGATGTGTCTGCTGAAGGATGTATACCCAGAGGCTTGCCCTGAAGTTTGGGGAGGGGGGAGGCACTCACCTTGGCAAGCTTCATTGCACGTTTTCCCCCGTTGGATCCACTGAGAGCGGAAATTTCGCTGTGAATCTTCATCGTGCATCATCACCACTCAAATCGAATTTCTTCATTCAGAGAGTGGTGAGCCCATAGAATTTGCTATCGCAGAAAGCAGTCGAGGCCAACAAAACCATGATTTCAAGAAGAAATTAGATATAAAATTTGGGACTAAAGGGATCAAAGGTTATGAGGGAAAAGTAGGAACAGGCTATTGAGATGAGTGATCAGCTATGATCATAATGAATGGAGGACTGGGCTTGAAGGACTGAGTGACTTTTGCTCCAATTTTGCTGTGTTTTCTACGTTAAATGGCAACCTAGTAAAGGCATTTATGATGAGAACAAATTGAGTCTGCACTTGACCCAACCTGCCTCCATTCACATCCTTATTTCTGTGGCCAATAATTAACTAAAAAAACACACCCTCATATTAATCAAAGGTTCGCTTCATCAGATCTGGAATTCATTTCCTTTTATTATGGCTTTGTTACCTGCAGCACAATTTTACTTATTGGCATACTTGTACTGAGAGATCATATTGTATCTTTACCCACCTAAACTCACTCCTTTCAAGTAATAAGCAATTTCCCTAGCCTTGCTACCAAAATATGCATCCTATTTACTTTTGTTGAACTTCATTTGCCAATTATTTGTTTATTTTGCAAGTTTATTGTTTTCCTGCAATTTGTTGCTGATCTCAGTACTGAACATGTGTTTCCAACGTGGCGTTTTTATTGATACAGCTGTAAAATAGTTTTAATATTTTTAAACTTCTTTAATTATTTAATTTAAAGTTTATTGAGTAGCATTCCAACTAGAGAATTCAGTATTCACTCCTAATTACCAATCTAGTATGGCTGCAGTTGGTACTAGCTAAAGGGTGATCTGCAGAACTAAACATAATTTCTTCAACAGCGGATTTCTTACCATGATTTGTACCTGAGGAGGCCTCTGTCACAGGGTGCGACTGGCTAGTAAAATCTGGCTCCTGCACTGCATGTTCATGAGGATGGCCCTCCAAATCAGGTGCCCAATGACCAATAGAAACTAATAGCTCCACAGAAAGACACCCAACCCTGCCCTCATCAATAAGCCACGATTTCAATCGCACTGCGGCCTGCCTATTACTTAGTTTCAGGTTGGTGTCCATTAATCTGTTTCACACTGGGTGCCTTCCCATCAGTAGTTAATATTCCAGGTGGCACTGCTGTCACTGACAAGCAGCAAGCTGTACAATTGCTTGGCATCTCTTAGAGGTGGGATCACCACTCTGAAAGGAATGGGAACTCTCATGTCATGTAGTTTATAGTCTGATGGATACTGTATCAGATCATAACTCCCAGAAATAGGCAGGCTAGTACTTCCCCTGGTTTTCTGACGCACCACTGGAGCCACTGCTACCTGCATTAACTTCAGATCAGTGTGGTAAGTCATGGTTGCATTTGTTGAAGGGTAGTCATCTCAGCTTCAGTACTTACAGTGGCATGGTGGCTCAGTGGTTAACATTGCAGTTTCGCAGTGCCAGGGACCTGGATTTGATTCCAGCCTTGGGTGACAGTGTGAAGTTTGCACATTGTTCCTGTGTCTGTATGGATTTCCTCTGGGTACTCTGGTTGCCTCTCACAGTCCAAAGATGTGCAGTTTAGGTGGATTGGCTATGCTAAATTGCCCCATTAATGTGCAGGCTAGGTGGGTTAAATATGGGATTATGGGGATAGGTTGGTATGCTCTTCTAAGGGTCAGTGCAGACTTGATGGGCAGAATGGTCTCTATCTGCATTATAGGAATTCTATGACTCACTACAGGTGTTCCTCAGGGTAATGTCTTAGGCCCAGCCATCATTAGCTGCTTCATCAATGACTTTCCCTCCATCGTAAGATCAGAAATGGGGATGTTTGATAATAAATGCATAATTTTAAAAACCATTTGTGACTCCATTGATCCTGAAACAGTCCATGTCTAAATACAGTAAGACCTGGGCAACATTCAGGTCTTGGCTAACAAGTGGGAAGTAACATTCACATCACACAGGTCCTAGGTAATGACCATTTCCAACAACAGAGATTCTAACCATTGACCCTTGATAGTCAATGATTTTACCATCACTGAAACCCCCATTATCAATATCTTGGGAGTTATCATTGGCCAGAAACTGAACTGCAGCAACCTTATAAATACTGTGATTGCAAGAGCAGGTCAGAGGCTAGGAATCCTGCAGTGAATAACTCACTTCCTGACTCCCCAAATCTGTTCACTATCTACAAGAGACCAGGCAAGAATGTGATGGTATACCCTCCACTTGCTTGGGGGATGCAGCAACACCAGTACTCAAGAAGCTTGATACCATGCAGGTTTTCAGATTCAAGCATTATGGAGGTAAGCACTAAACAAAACAAAACAAAAACAAGGAACTGCAGATACTGGAAATCAGAAACAAAAGCAGGAATTGCTGGAAAAATTCAGCAGGTCTGGCAGCATCTGTGGAGAGAAAGCAGTGTTAATGTTTCGGGCCCAGTAACCATAGTGAAGGGTCACTGGATCTGAAATGCTAACTCTGTTTTTCTCTCCACAGATGCTGCCAGACTTGCTTAGTTTCTATAGCACTCCTTTTTGAGGCAATGTACATATATCTACACCTACAGAAACACGCATCTGATCCCCTAACTAAAAACTCCCACCTCAACAGAGCCTTTCCACTATTCTGCCTCCTCACCTTGTACACTGAGTCACTTGTGGTGCCAGAGAATTGCTGCACAGCTCCTAGGATCCTTTGTTGTAACCAATATCTGGATGAGTATTTTTGTATTTCAGGGTCACTGGAACCAAAACATTCAGCAATTTCTGGTTTTGATTATGGAGGTAAATGTTGCTTTTTTAATTTGTTTTATTCATTTATGGGATTCAGGTGTCTCTGGCTGGCCAGCATTGATTGCATGCCCCTAGTTGCCCTTGTAAAGGGCTTCAAAACAACCTCTGATTCGAGAAATGTATACGTGAAGCCATTGTAAACTGTGATCCTGAATCAAAAAAATCCCAAACTTCATCTTTTTCAAGGTTAACAAACAGGTCCATATCAATATTATCCACTGTAGTGTCAAGAATATAGACAAATAGGAATTTCCAATGTATAATTTCCTCAGGTTTTTCGTGCTCAATTTTATGAACTCCTTTGTTCTGTGTGGTTAATTTTACAGCAGTTATCTGAGATTGTAAATTTCCAGAAAGATGGCCACATTTGCTACAGTGAAAGTATTGGATATCACTTGCTGGACAACATTATGGCTTACGATGCTTCCTTGCACCAGTGTGCCATCATTTCAAAATGGCTGCCCCACCTTTTCCTCATTTTGTTGGGTTTTTGTCAGGTGAGACAACCATCCTTGAGCCTAACTCTCGACCTTGTATTGAAGTAGCCTCCAAGGTCATATTCTAAGCCAAGCCTATGATCTGTGCTGGTTTGTCCATTTGAAGGTCAGCTTTTGCTCTGGCTGCAATAATTAAGTTTTGTACTGTTGTTAGATTAAACAATCTCACCCTCAAGGCCAAATCCCTACATGAGTTGGTGACAATGTATAAATAAATATGCATTATCTTTGATGGAAGGTACCATGACGACTGGCTGCAAGTACCCCTAGTTAGACTGAATGTATTCAGTAATAAGATTTTCAGGACTGAAATAAGCATCATGAGCTCCTAGGACTGATTGAAAATCTGCTGAGTTTTCATTAAAATTATGGCTGTTTAGATGCCCACTGTGTTTAAGAAGCACCTGACCAGGAGCTGTTGTAGCTTCAATTCGAAACCTGGAGCAACTCTGTGGCTGTGGAACTGTCAATTCCAGAATTCCCCGTACTTGGATTGACCCTTGAGCCACATTGAAGAGCCTTCGAAAATCCAGGGAGTAGGCCCCAACTTACCTTAGTTTGTTTTGTTCAGTGGATGTGGATTTCTCTCACAAGTCAGCATTATTTGTTGGTCCCTACTTGCCCTGGAGAAGGCAGTGGTGAGCTGTCTTCTTGAACAATCACTGTGCTTTCGGCGTAGGTGCAGCAATAATGATGGTAGCAAGAGAGACCTAGGATGTCAGTTGAGTGACAGTGAAGAAAAAGTAATATATTTCCAAGTCAGGATGGTGAGTGGCTGAGAGTGGAGCTTGTAGGCAGTTGTGTTCCCATATATCTGCTGCTTTGTCTTTCTAGATGATACCTGCAATGAGTTTGGAAGGTACTGTTTAAGGAATCTTGGTGAATCACTGCAGAGCATCTTGTACACACTGTAGCAGCTGAGCGTCAGTGTCGGAGGGAATGAATATGGGTGGATATGCTGTCAATTAAATGGGCTGCTTTGACCTGGATGGTGTCATGTTTTTTTTTGAGTATTGTTAGAGTTGCACACATCTAGGCAAGTAGGAACTCTTGACTTGTGCCGTATAGATGTTGGACAGGTTTTGGGAAATCAAGAAGTGAATTTTTTGCTGCAGGATTTCTAGTATTTGACCTGGTCTTCTAGCCTCAGTATTTAAATGGCTACCCAGTTCAGTTTCTGGTCAATGATAACCCCCAGGATGTTGATAGCAAGATTTCGGCAATGTTAATCCCATTGAATGTCAAGGGGTGATGATTAAATTCTCTCTTCTAGGAGATGATGACTGCCTGATACTTACGTGCCTTTAATATTACTTGCCAATTGTCAGATCAAACCTTGATATTGTCCACATCTTATTGCATTTGAACATGGACTGCTTCAGTATCTGAAGAGCTAC